TATAATCCCTCCAGCGCATCCTAGGATGACCCCGGGGTCTTGTCCCGGTAGGCCGTGCCTGGTACACCCCCACCGGGAGGCGTCCAGGGGGCATCCAGATCAGATGCCCGAACCACCTTAACTGGCTCCTCTCAATGCAGAGGAGTAGCGGCTCTACTCCGAGCTCCTCCCGGATGGCCGAGCTCCTCACCCTATCCAATAGAGTGTAGCCCACCACCCTGCGAAGAAAGCTCATTTCCACCGCTTGTATTCGTGACCTCATTCTTTCGGTCATTACCCATAGCTCATGACCATAGGTGAGGGTCGGGATGTAGACCGACCGGTAAACAGAGAGCTTCGCCTTACGGCTCAGCTTCCTCTTCACCACTACAGTCCGGTACAGTGACCGCATTACTGCTGCCGCCTGTCCCAGCCTGCGGCCGATCTCACGATCCCTCTTCCCATCACTCGTGAACAAGACCCCGAGATACTTAAACTCCTCCACCTGGGGCAAGTCCTTTCCCCCCTACCTGGAGTGGGCAGGCCATCCTTTTCCGGGCTAAGACCATGGACTTGGAGGTGCAGATCCGCATACCATTCTTTTTCTTTCTTTGAAAAATAAGCCGCTCAACTTCTCATGTTCCACACGATTGGCTGGTTATTGTAAACAACATGCTGCTTTTATGTCACAAGACAAGACATCCCACAAGAATTAGTCCAAGTATCTGAACGTGGGTTCGAAGAAAAAGCTGTAATCTGCCATCATACAATAAGAAAACTATGGTTGCATTTGCTAGATTTTGTGAAGCTGACATAGTTAAACGTGCTTCATGAGACAGGCCACTGATTAAGTGTTTACCCAAAACAGAGACGGCCCTTGCTGACCCCAAAACTCCTGTGTTTCTACTGACTGCCTCTGCTATGAAGCTGCACTTCCCCAAACAGTAATTAGGCAATTGGAGCCGATTAGATCCCGTCAACCAAGAGAAACTGGATTCCAGCTGCGGGATTTTTGTCATTTCTCTTGGGGGGATGAGGAGGCCAAATCACTGCTGACCAAAAGATGAAGATCTCTTCATTGTGTGCAGATCTACAGTGCTGTGAAAAAGTATTGATTTTTTTCTGTTTTTGCATATTTGTCACACTCAATTATTTAAGGTTTTTAGAGACAACCTCAGGAAGCACAAAATAAAAGGCCATTTTATTCATTGAGGGCAAAAAGTTGTCAAGCACCAACTGGCCCTGTGTGAAAAAGTAATTGCTCCCTTACTCCATTAAGCAGTTAACAAATTTGGTTGATAATTGGGATCAATAAAACTAGACACAACAAGGATTTGCTTACTGACAGCCCTGTTGATGCTAAACATCACTGAAGTAGAACTTTTCACGCGATGTGAAATAGGCTAAAAGTTGAACCACAGCGAGAGCCCTTATTTCCAACAGGAGAAAACTTGGAACAGTGCTGAATCTTCCCAGAAGTGACTGCCTACCTACCAAAATGCTTCCAAGAGCTAAACAGCAGTTCATCCAGGAACTTGCTTAGATGAACATCTAAGGAAATGCAGGCCTTGCTTGCAGCATTGATTATTCCACCATTAGAAAGAGACTTGGCAAAAATGGTATCAGTGAAAGAGTCGCAAGGCGAAAACTACTTCTAAATAAGACGATCATGAAGGCTCGTCTCACATTTCCCAGAAAACATCTTGATGACCTCCAAGCCTTTTGCAATAATGTTCTGTAGACTTGAGTCAAAAGTGGAATGTTTTCACATGGGATCTATAAAACTTGTTCTGCAAAACTTTTTTTCCTTCAATAAATTAAATGATCATTTATTTTAAATTGTTTTGTGTTTTTACTCATGTTCTCCTTGTGTTCTGTTACATTCTGTCTCAGGATCTGAAACCACTTAGTGAGACAAGTATACAAAAATAGAGAAACTCAGGAGGGGACAAATACTTTTTCCTGACACAGTACATAAAAGGAAAAACTAATCATATGCTGTAATCCAACTGGCGCTAACCAAGGTATCAGTATGTCTGCTTCACCTCTGGTTTACTTTGATTGCTTTAGATCTTTTCTCCGTCAGATATCATCAGTCATAGCAGTCAAAAGATGAAGGCTGAGTCATGTGGAATGTGTTTCCCTGAATTGCAGCGACTGCCAGACGGAAGGTTCAGGTAGTTCTGAAGCTACATGTGGGGAGCATCTTGCTAAAGAATGTGTTGAGAAGAAGAGTGAAGGAGCAGGTATTCAGTAAAGAGGCTGTTGACCCAGATGTTTCTTTTAATGGAAGTTTTTGCTGCTGCTGTGAAGTAGAAGTGAAGTTTACGTCAGTTTCTTCTTCTTAAATAACAGTCTGGATGTAGAGCTTCTTCACTGATGCTCTTTCATTACTGTTGCTTGAGGTCTGGCTTTTAGAATTTCCTCACCTAAACTCAGGAGAGGAGTTTAGACCAGCAGAGACTGATCAACTTTTTAATGGTTGGTGTAGTGTAGTGGCTAACACCTCTACCTTCTATGCTGTAGACTGGGGTTCAATCCCCAACTTACTATACCAATAAGAGTCCTTGGGCAAGACTCCTAACACTACCTTCACCTACCTGTGTAAAATGATTGCGTTGTAAGTCGCTCTGGATAAGAGCATCTGCTAAATGCCATAAATGTAAATGTAAATGTAACTTTCAGTGCCCAAAAATCTGAAAAAGACACGATGATGAGCTGCTTTGCTGCACACATTGAGAATAAACACATATGTATACAGGACCCATCTTTAAAGATACAAGTGCTAACAAACGCTACACTACACTCACTGTCCACTTTATTGGAAACTCCTACCTTGTACTTCCCCTCATGGACTGCTTTATGAGCTCACCCTACCTGACAGGTCCACTGCGTTCCCTGCTGCTTTGGTCTTTCTCCTTCATTTATTCTTCCTCCCGTTTATTACTTTGAAACAGTTTTCATTCTGGCACACTGGAGTCACCCACTCATGTTGTTGATAGAATTTAATGTTGAAGTCTACAAGGCTCACTGTCACACATCCATCGGGCTATGCGCCACATATGGTCTCCATCTCCCAGAATCCTCCGGGATCCTCAGATCATATGACTCCTGATATCCCTTCACGCTCCAATCAGCGCTCTCACTCACTGGAGGACTGATTCTGTGCACCTGTGTGATATGTCACATGACCTTATTAGTTGGTTTATAAGCCCAGGCTTTAGCGTAGGCTAGTTGTGAGGTATTGAATCATGATTGATCTACTGAGTGTTATATTGGTCTGTGAGATTCCTGTTTATGACCTTTGTTTCCTGTTTTTTCGACTCTGCTTTTTGCCTTAACCCTTGGATTGTTTGCTCTTATTGTTTGACCACTGTTTTTGACCTTTTTGCCTGTTTTCTCTACTCTGCCTTTGCCTGCCCCTTTTTGGATAGACGGTCTAGTGTTATGTTTGTCTTTGTGTATTGGTTGTACTTGGATCTGACCCATGCTTGTTTTGTGACTATGTACTTGGATATTGTCTTCATCAGTAAAGCTTCATCTGACCCTTTTAACGAGCATCTGACTCCTTCTGGCACGTTACACTCGCACTTCTGAGAAAATAAACAGCAAATTAATTTAGGAGTTTAGTGCATGCTAGAGGACTTTTGTATCGAGTATGTTTGGCCAAAAATATTTGTATCTTTGTAAAGAAAAAGAAATTCATGGTAAAACTTTATTTGGAGTGGTTCTTTGTAGATGATTAATAAACTCTTAACAGTATCAGAAACACATGAACAACATATCAGTAGTGAAGCATCTGAATACACTGAAGTAAATATCTTGTAGATGTTCTGTTGATACATTAATTACATTAAGTTGATGTGTTGTTAATATGTTACTTACATTACGCAAAACCTAACCTTACCAACCTTACCCAACACCTAACCCTCACCCTGGCCCTAATCCTAACCCTAACCTCCACCCAAAACCTAATCCTAACACTCACCCTGGCCTTAATCCTAACCCTAACCCTTAACCTCACCCAAAACCTAATCCTAACCCTCACCCTGGCCTTAATCCTAACCCTAAACTTAACCTCAGCCCAAAACCTAATCCTAACCCTCATATGTTTTTGACATGTTACTGCAAGTCTGTTGGGTGTTTCATTTAAAAGAACCACCCAAAATAAAATGTCGCCAATTTCCCATTTGAGCTAGTGAATACTGACATCATGCTCTATTAGCACTGCACAGTGTGAGAACGTTGTTGCATAGAAATTTGAAAATACATTTGCATTGGTTTATGAATACATTTATTGGGACATAATGTCAGACATAATCATATGATTTTATATTGTTATTTTTTACTTATGTATGCTATAATGATGGCTGTCATAGTTGCTGAGCAATACTTTAACCAGCTCTATCTTGAATAATATTGAAAGTTATATAAACCATATAGAATTATGGACAGTTTTATTGGTCACTTGGGTGATGGGCTGTTTTGGGTCAGTTTTAGCTAGGGTCAGTTTGGGACTCAAAACTTGATGCGGTTCTACTCTGGTGGTGTTCTGACATAATTTTATCTGGCTGAGGTCAGATTTGGACTCAAAACCTGGCACTGCGGGTCAGGGCATTCTCAGACAGAAAGTCTGTGGGCTATATTCAGGTTTGGACAAACATTTAAGGCCAAATTCCAGCACCACCATTCTCAGCAAAGCAGTGACACTGACATGGTAGTAGCATGGTGTACAGTTAGAGATCGTGGCCCATCTGTTTGCACAAACCTTTCATGTCATTTCAATGGTCTGCCACCAAAACATATCCAGCCAAAAGACTGACCACTGACTAGATGATGGCTAACATGAAAGGTGTGTGCAAACAGATGGGCCACGATCTCTAACTGTACACCATCAAGGTGGAGCTATACGTCAGGGTTTCTAGTGGCTGGTCTAGCATATCTACTTAACTGCTACCGCTAATCTAACGGTACATTTTTTAAGGTGCAGTGTTCCTTTAACATTCTTTCTCATCCTGCAGGCCGTGGCAGCGACTCGGAGTGTGACGTTCCCCACAGGAAGCTCCCGGACATGCGGCGGGACGATATGCTGGCAAGGCGAACCTCTTGCAGTGAGCCACGAACCGCAGTACCCTTCAACCAGTACCTGCCCAACAAGAGCAACCAGACGTCCTACTTGCCCACGCAATTGCGGCGCCAGCGCACTGAGCGCGAGGACAGCCGCAAGAGCTGGAGCAATGCCACTTCACCTGTAGGAGGAGAAAGACCTTTCAGGTTAGCTCCTGATCTCTAAGCAGTTTATACAGGGAAGAGGTGCTTTCATTCACACTGCAAGCTCTGATCTGGTTTCATTAGGTTTACAAGATCCCAGAGTTTCAAAGATATTCAGGGGTAGTTTAGGAGAGATGAGTGGTGTGTTGATGTACTTGTTATTCGACTCATGGCAAAAATGTAAAGGGCTATACAAAACAGTAGATTTATATCTAATTCAAGTCATAATAAGATATCGTCTACTTTTGAGCATGAGTGCAGCGTTATTAGCAGAATTTCTCGGTTTGTTTCAGTAAGTAAACAAGTAAGAAATTGTTCACATTGTGTTAACACCAGGCTGTTGTTAATGCCAGGGATAATTGCAGCTTCTAATGCTGAGTCTGCATTATGGCAGTAGATGATGGACGGCAAACTGGATATTCTGCTGTTTTCTGTGGAGCAGAGATTTTCCTAATTGCCAATTTGCCCTCAATTCCGGTAGTGAAATGCAACCGAAATAGATTTTATTTGAGAGCCATGGATGTCAGATGGCAAGTGTGCCCTGTATTAATCCTTGTGTGGTGTTGATGTGTTTGTTACTCAGTGGTCTGTTGGACCCACCACATTATTGTTTTTCAATACAGTCATAACACACACACACACACACACACACCCACACCTTTTAAGCTGCTTATCTTTCTGGGTCGCGGGGGGAGCTGGAGCCTATCCCAACAATCATTGGGTGGAAGGCAGGATACACCCTGGACAGGTCTACAGTCATAACAATTTATGTAAAAATACCAGATGTTTAAAATATCACAAGTGTCCAGTGTAGGGTTCTCCTTTAGCAGCTGTAGCCAGTCAGCAGCCTGTCCATGTTGTCCACCCACACATACACAGACACACACACACTAACAGCAGGCCATGTAGGAGGAGAACAGAGTGAAGGACACAGCACCTCCACACTTTTACTCCCCGCGGGTTCAGCCCAACACCACATGTGTAATATAAATGTGTGGGGGGTGAACAGAGTGAAGACTCTGAGCAAAGGCCAAGAATCTGAGGTTGAAATTATAATAAATCACATCATTCATTTCTTTTAGTAAACAATGAAAATGGGTCCCACAGACCTGAACACCACACAAGGGTTAAACAACAAAAATGAAAAGTGTGAAGTCTGATGTAAACAATCACTAATATAACTCTCCTATGATAATAATGCATTTTTGCTGATGACACTGTTACCATGGCAGTGTTTCCATGACTGCTTGCTGCCATTAATCGTGTACCACTATGAGGAGCTGAGTGATGTTTTTTCAGTACCAACATGTAAACATAGTGTAGAAGCCATTCACACTGTCCAAACTACGTTCAAACTGTTGTATTTACTGATGGCATGCAAACCAGCACTAGCTTTAGGCGTCACAGCTGTGCACATCAGCTCTGAGCACTGCTTCATTTTCCACTACGTCACAGTTATTTCACCATTATTACAATAAATTAAATCCATATTGACATCACAGAAGGCTATAATAGGTGACATGTGGTTTCAGATGTGCACAGAGAAACGGCGGTCAGTCTTCTAGATGAACAGACAAATGCTAAGGGTATGTACCTCAGCTAAAGTTACCAGCCTACGTTTTTTTTCACTACATATCTTTTAACTTCAAAATATCAAAATTGATAAAATATCAAAAACGTGATAAATCATGTTAAAAGTTTTATTTCATTCAATTTATGTGAGTGGAGTGAAAAATGAATGTAAGCTTGATGTTTATCGGCACTCTGGCGCATTCTATGTAGTCTAGCAGCGCTTTGTACTGTATCTGCTACGTGATGCTAAAACATCTTCTGGATGTCATTCTGGAACAGGGGTGCTCGGTCCTCCGCCACCCTGGAGAGTTCAGATCCAACACACCTAGCTCTAATATTCAGATGCCCCTGAAGGCCTTCGTTTCCTGGATCAGGTGTGTTAGATTAGCGGTGGAGCTGATTTCTAAGGCCCAATCCCATTTCTTGTTTTTACCCCTACCCCTTGTTTTTGAGTGTCACATTGTCGCTTGGAACTGAGTCAAAAGGGGTAGTGGTTGACATCTTCCCTACAAAATGGGACCCTCAAATAAAAAGAGCATCACTTCATTAACAGCTACTAGCGCTGCTCTGTAGGCGACCCTGCCAGTCTGCAGTGACAGCAGAGGAGGGTAAAGTTCAGCTCCTCACTGCTGGGCTTTAGTTACATTTAGGGCATCATATGCCTTCAAAGAGGGGGGCAATTATTTATTATCACCCACCCCTAATTCTTCAGTGATATGAGGCTGAAGTCAGATATTCGCCAGCTTCTCGCTAGAATTTTCCTGTTCCATCTTAAATGGAACAGCAGTTCTGACCCCATTTAGGGTGGAATGGGAAATTTAGCTATCTAGCTACTGAGGCATCAGCATACTACTAGCGATTTTTTATGCTTGTTATGAAGAAAAGGAACTTAATACATTGAAACGACATTAAGATAAAACAATGATTATTGAAATTTTTAACAGAGAAAATACTTAAATTTCGGTTTCTTTGGGTCACTTGTGTCACCATCTTGCCGGTTTTCTTTTTTTCCGTTTGGAGTGCGCCTCTGAAAAGCCTCCAATTGGAGCCCCAACACTTCGCCCCGCCCCTCTATCTCAACAAAAATCGAGGACACCCTACCCCTAGACGTGAATGCACAAAACAAAGGGGTAAGGGCTAAGTAGCAGGGGCAAGGGGTGAAATGGGATTGGGCCAAAAGGGTGGTAAATCCCTAGGACCAGGATTAGGCCGCCTTGACCTGGAGCATCCAAGCAAATGATGTAGTGTGAAAAGCGTTGCCAGTCTAGGGTCTCATAGGTTGTGTTATATGAAAGAGAATCAGTCGAGCTGGTGGAAACCACCCCATCAATGGTTCTTTTAGAACTGTAAATATGAGACTTCTCAGGCATCCAGGCAAAGCATTCTGTCAAAGTTGCAAGAATGAAAGAAAAGCTAGCTGCCAAAGGGAGTAGCCTGAGGCCCCTCCACATTAACTGAATTAGATCAGGGTGAATTGCGTCTAACTGCTTAAAGAGTTTAAAGGTCAGCTCAGAAGCTTTAACAGATTAAAGGGAAGTCGGGGTCTTAACGTACATTTAGTTTATTCATTTATTTAAGGAGTGTAAAGGGAAATTAGTCACTGTCAGCATTTCTTAGCAGCCTGTTAGTATTTATTGCCTGAGAAATTACAGCGCTAGTTGTTTACAACATGACCCATGTCTCATGTTTCACAGCCATATCCATGTGGTGCTACCCAACAACTTGGGCTCTTGGCAAAAACATCCAGACAAAATAAAGACTAAGGGAGCACGTCAGCTGCCAAAGCATTTGGGGAAAGTGTTTTGGGATGGCCTGTCTCTCCTCCCAAGAGCACATGCTCTCCCAACACCATTAACCACCGCCAAACTCAACATAGTCTTACTGACAGCACCAGGAAGCAGCCAGTTTTCTCTCACAGGCTGATTAGATGAGGAGAGTAGTTTGGGAACATGTTAAATGTTTGGCATCATGGTGAGGACTTAAAGAAGAAGTGTGGGCGATTTTCTCTTCCTTTTTTCAGTCGTTCTGTTGATTTAATACAGTAGTGGTATGAGGGGAGTGGTTGATGGAGACCAGATGTGGATGTTAATTGATTTAAGGCTTGGAAGCCGATCAGCTCTTATCCCCTCTACTGGTCATAAGCTGAGCGTATGAACGCAGATAAGAAAGATGTTACTTCCCAGATGTGACAACCTATGGGCTTGTTGACTCTTTCTTCTGGGGGGCCCAGATAAATTCAGTGCATAAATTTTGCTGTGTAGCCTAGCATTGCTAAGATGTGGGCTATTAAGTATTAAATGATGCTTGATCCCTGGTGATGCCACAGCTATCCAGGACGCCAAAATAGCATAATTGGCTTTGCTGTGTCTCAGTGGGGAGGAATAGCCTCCCTCTCCCCCCCATCACTCAGCGTGATGCTAACCAACATGGGCATCGCTTAGCTGCTGTAACAGAATTGCCAGTTTGCATTCTCCTCTAAGCGTATTAAGCTGTCCAGTGACGTTGTGTTAATGGCAGTTCAGAAAGATGAGTTGGCTGGCTTCACGTGTCTTGGAGGTAGAGCTTGAAATATTTGTCTGAATCCGGCTGGACGGACGTCATTTCCTGAATATGTGTTGAGTTTGGGTCAGGTTCAGGTTTCACGGTTGGGTTCTCACAGCCCACACACTTTCAGCTGGTTTTACCCTGCATTTCTCCCTTTCTCTTTACTTTATTCTTCTTCTCTACTTTCATTACCCGAAAATATTTTTTGCCTGTCACATCCTGGAGTCTTCTACTTTACGAGATCAGTGCTTGGGAGAAAATTGATTTGTAAAAATAAAACAGCAAATTGATTCAGGAAGGTGCAGTTGAGTGCATCCAAAAGGCCATTTACAGTAGTTTATATGTTGTACGTTCACTGAATGTATTATACATACATACATACATACATCATCTAAACCGCTTATCCTTCTGGGTCGCGGTGGGACGCTGGAGCCTATCCCAGCTGTCATTGGGCGGAAGGCAGGATACACCCTGGACAGGTCGCCAGTCCATCGCAGGGCAGACAAACAGACATATACATTTACACTCTCACTCAAACCTAGGGGCAATTTAGCACAGTCCAATTAGCTTAACTGCATGTCTTTGGACTGTGGGAGGAAACCGGAGTACCCGGAGGAAACCCACGCAGACACGGGGAGAACAGGCAAACTCCACACAGAAACGACTCCGGTCGCCCGGCCGGGAATCGAACCCAGGCCATTCTCGCTGTGAGGCAACAGCGCTATGAATGTATTATGTTTTCTGTAAAGAAATAGAGTTTTAGGATTTAACGAGTGAAGGCTAACATTTTCGCTATATCAGCACTGCACAGTGTGAGAACAGCGCATTCTCAAAGTTTATCCAGACTAAAAAAATTGAGATGTTGTTGAAAAGCTCTGCTTGATTAT